CGAGGCAAGTGCGCGCATCGATTTAAGTTATGGTTTATTTGATAGGAAAGATAAAAAGTAGGAGAGTGAAAAATAGAAAATTGGACTTTCCATCATGAGGAAAAAAAAATATTTTCTCTCCATTTTATTTGATACGATGGATATAAAATTGGAGGGATTAATTTTACATACCATTATACCCTTAAGAAAAACATATTTTGTATAACAAATAATTTTTTTTAAAAGAATATGTTTTGTAAGATATAACTGACAAATAATTACATAATTCAATTTATTTCAAATGTTACATGTAGCATTTCTAGAAGGTTTGACATGCGGCATTTTTAAAGAAAAGACTCAATCACGTGGATAAGCGCATTTAAGAAGATTTGTAAAGGCATAAATGTAATTCTGCTAGCTTGACTCGTTAGATTCCTTTTTCTGTTCCATTTTCTCTCCAATTTCGGGAGGAAACAAATTGGCGGGCGGAATGGATTGTGCCATTTTTTCAATTGGAACCAAACAAAGGATACACCATTTTTTCCATCCACCCCATTTTCCATCCTTCATTTTCAATCCATCGTGTCAAACATGCCATTAGTGTTATTTATTTTTTTTGGCTAATTGAGAAAGAAAAAAGTTATCAGTTGCGACCAGACGTAGCAACTCCCCTATGATGTTACCTTGATGTTTTCACCAGTTGTAGAATGTTCGATTTCAGTCATAATAACTGACCTGAAATGATCGAGTTTGTCACCACAGTATTTTCGAGAGCAAGCTGGATATTCAATCCCTTCAATAATATTTGGTTCATAAGGATTATTATTGTAAGCGAGTTTCAAAGTCATGACCATTAAAGGAGGGCAGGACTTTCACCTTTTACTGAAGGCAATTAGGCTACCACTCTAGCGGTGATTTTATTAGTGTTAGAACATTTCTAATATTACTCTTTATTTTGGCGAGCATTTTTTTAAAATAAAGAACATTTTTTTAGTAAACTATAATGAACTCTCTATTCTAATAGAAAATTAGTCTTATAATTAAGAATATGTAATGAATGATATATATGTATCATCAGAAAGTGGTCTTTTCCTCAACCAACTCTGATTGGAAGCTTTTCATAGAAACTGCCCCAAATGTACCTTGGCACCACTTGGTGTGGTTTGCACACTCAATCCCTAGAATGAGCTTTATCATTTTGGTCGGTTATTAGAATGAGACTTAGTACAAGAGAGAGACTAGAGAGATTCGATGCCCAGGTACTGGTAGAATTTCATCTTTGCAGACAAACACCAGAATTCCATTAGCATCTATTCATTTTCTCTAAAAAATATAAATTTTTTTTTTTGCAAGGCCCTCAATACCATACAACTTAATTAACACACTCTTTAATATTAACATAATCCCGCTAATTTATGCCTATCTCTCTCTCTTATTTTTCTCTTTGTCTACTTTAATTTTAAATTGCATAATTAAAAAAAAAATATAAATTACTATTCAAAATATTTATTTGCATGATTAATGTTCAATATTTAGTACTTCATAGTGTCCTCAGTCACGAGATTATTTCTAGTATTTTTATATGTGAACTACTATACAAGAACTAGGTTTGAAAGAGAGAGCAAATCAAACCTTAAACAACAAAAAAAAAAAGAAGATTTTTTTGTTTATCTCAACTAAAAAAACTTATATTACAATTCCGAAAGTAAATTTTGTGCAAAACAACTATAATTTCTCGTTTTTTGTGCCTGAAAAATAAAAAATTTATATTAGAAAATTATCAAATGCTACCTACATCTCAAAGTATCTTGATACCAATAGAGGATGAAAAAAAAAAAGAGAAAAGTCAAGTGTAGAAAAGTAAAAAAGGATAAGCATGATGGGGATTCATCATGGATGGGTTGAGCTTGAACCTTAATATAGGCCCACTAGCCCAATATGAGAGATCTGTGGGTCCACCTCGGCCCATACACTTCCGGTATAAGTGAAAAGTACTGCTCTCTCTCTCTCTCTCTCCAGTAAAAGTAAAAATTAGACTGCTCTCTCTCTCTCTCTCTCTCTCTCTCTCTCTCTCTCTCTCTCGGTAAAAGTAAAAAGGATAAACATGATGGGGCAACTAATTAGTAGTGATCGTGCTATCACGGTTGTAAACTAATCAAGGGCGGAGGCAACTATGGTCGGGTGGGCAAGTGTCCCACTCATTTTTTATTTTTTATTACTAAAGCGTGTATATTATATATTTTTAATCATTTTTACTCTATTTTTTTAGCACATCAATTAATGTACACTTATATTAAATGAATAATTTTAATTATGTAAGCCCTATTTTTTTTGGCATCAATTAGTGTATACTTATATCAAATGAATATGAATTTTTTGACACATTTTAGATATATTAGGTACCTATTTAGACAAATTTTGAATATACTAAAATTATTTTATATTTTCTAAAACTAAAAAAGACATGATATACATATTGGTAAAAAAAACATTATTTTATATTTTCTAAGACATGATAGACATGATATACATATTGAATATCAAAGTGATAACATGATTGCGTATATAAAGAATAATAAAGTTGTTATATAATATTTTTAAAATACAAAAATTCACCAGAGTCAATTTTAAATAATTTTAATTAGTCAATATATTGTAAAAAAAAATGTTGTCGTTTATATATACTAGTCTTACCAAATTTTAGTATGTTGGGTTTAATGAACTTTTAAATATTAAATTGGATGTAATTAAATAAATCATTATCCTATTTCTGTCAATTGTGAGAAAAAAATAATAATTTATTAAAATATTTGTGTTCACCTGATACAATTTTTTTCCTCCGCCCCCTTGTAGTGAATATTTACGCATGGCATAGAGCTGCAGATTTGTGATTCATCATGGATGGGTTGAGCTTGAAACTTAGTACAGGCCCAATAGCCCAATATGATATATCTGTGTGTCCACATCGGTCCATACACTTCCGGTAAAAGTAAAAAGTAGACTGCTCTCTCTCTCTCTCCCCGGTAAAAGTAAAAAGTAGACCGGTCTCTCTCTCTCTCTCTCTCTCTCGTAAACGTAAAAAATACTCCACAGCATGAGGTTATCTTACTTCCTGATCAGTTACCATTTCATGCACATAAGCTACCGTTTTGTAATTTTTTGATTGGAATTTTTTTCCTCCTTTGAGATTCAAATTCTAACTCTAACATAGTTTAAGTGATAGCAAGAATGAGTTGTAAATTCAAATTTTTTAAATTTAAATTTTGACAATTTCTTGAGACCATATCATAAGAAAAATATCTCTCATAAATATTCTAATTTCGGTGTAGACAATTTGTTTTTGACCTAATCGGAGAGAGAATAAGTTGAGATGTGTTTAAATTGGATCGAATATCACTGACCGTTGAATTCCAAAAAAAAAGAGATTCAAATTCTACCCAATACCCCTTTTTTTTTTTTGCTATTTTTCTTCTTTGTGATCACCCACCATTATTAGTGAAAGACTTACATATATCTAATGAGTCTCACTTAAATTCACAAAAATTAATCTCTTAAGATAAAAACTGACGCAAAAGTGGATCTTATTCCTAGTTTTTCAAGTGGTGGGGATGGGGTTTACATGATTACAATTTCGAGTGCCCTTCTCCACCCCCAAAACCAAGAGGTTGAGAGGAATGTGGGTTCCCTATCTCCAAAGTGGACTCAAGGGCCTAAAGTTATTAAGCTCTTCCTATATCTCTCATTGAGTGCCCTCATGTTCATTATGTTTTTGGCATTAGCATGAATCATATCAATTAATGGAGTAATGTTACTTGAATTTGATTTCTTAATCTAATTAATTGTAGCTATTAATATTATAGGAGATTCACTATTGATTCAACGATAACAATTACTTGGCTGAAAATTTAAATAATCGTGCATAGATGATACAGAATTAGCTAGGATGCACATGAATTTGACTATCGATTCTTTGTTGTAATAGCAGAAGTGTTCTTAGCTAAAGTAAGATGATATCGATTGTCCTGTTAAATAGATCGGCGTTATTTTTGCTAACAATAACTGCATTGTTAATTGTGGACTCTATCTATTTGTGCTATTTCATATCTTTAAATGCTACTCAAACAAACCCACAAGGGCAATCACTGTCTCATCCAAACCAAAACATGAGAATGGAGGATGGAGGATGGCCCCAATAAAAAAAATCTGTCATCCATTATATATAAAAGTTTCTTTCTTAAGTTTGTGGCAAGCAAATTACAGTATGGTCAGAAATAGATACAAGTAAAAGCCAAGGAATCATAAGATCCAACCTTTTTTGTCCACTCCCACTTGAGATCTCTTCTGTTTTTCCTGCCTTCTTAAGCAAACTATCAGTTGTAATAGTAAACCAGCTGTAATTGAAAAAACCTCTCTCCCTTTCTCTTTCTGTTATGGCCCCAAGTGTCCCACATGTATTTTTCGGAAAGAAGTGTCCCACATGAATTAAGTATAAAAAACCCTTAGGCGTATTCAACAGTTAGGACTTGTTTTTGGTAATTCAAAAATTTTAAGTTTAATTTATTCTTACACCTTTTAAGAGTTAGTCATTTTTATTCCTTTGAAGATATATTTTAAACTAATTTAAGCCAAGGTGACCCGCCAATGTACTCAAGATAGTAGTTGGTTTAAACCAAGACATTCTATTGCCAAAAAATAAAAAATAAAGTATGAACTATTTGATCATTCTTCTTTTACAAGCCAATTTTTGTGTATGAGAATTCTCATGAATTATTATCTCTCTCTCTCTCTCTCTCAAGATTGATTCAAAAAAGAATGGATGCTGATTACTTCTTCTGACTAAAAGTGTAACATCTCACCAACCTTCATTGATATGGATGCTAATTGGTTTTCCAACTAATATGGCTCCCTCTCACCTAACTTCTTTCTCTCTCCACCTCCATAAAACCCCTCTCCAGATCTCCCCTTCCATGCATCCTACAACCTTCAAGGACCACTCCTCCTCCTCCTCCTCCTCTCTCTCTCTCTCTCTCTCTCTCTCTAGACCACTAAACTCGAGGAAAACTAAGAAGATGAGGAACCAGTTTCTCTTCTCTCTCTCACTCCTAATTCTCCTCCACTGCACCACAACCACAGCTCAGACACCAGCGCAGCCCCCTGCACCACCTGGTCCAACCAACATTACCAAAATCCTTGAAAAAGCCGGTCAATTCACCACCTTCATTCGCCTTCTAGGCATCACCCAGGTGGGAGACCAAATGAACACCCAACTCAACAATTCAAACCAAGGTTTAACCATCTTTGCTCCGACGGACAACGCCTTTGCCGGTCTCAAATCCGGAACCCTAAATTCTCTCACCGATGAGCAAAAAGTCCAGCTCGTGCAATTTCATGTCATACCCTCTTTTTTCACTGTGTCACAGTTCCAAACTGTGAGTAATCCGGTGAGGACCCAAGCCGGAGACAACGTCGTAGGTGAGTTCCCGCTAAATGTGACGACTTCTGGTAACCAAGTGAACGTGTCGAGCGGCCTCGTTGATACCACAGTGGGTAGCGCAATCTACACAGACGGTCAACTTGCCGTGTATTCAGTTGACAAGGTCCTTCTCCCTATAAAAATATTTGCTCCTCTGCCGCCGGCACCGGCACCAGCTCCGACGAAGGCTAAGAAGAAGTTGCCGGTGGCGGACACTCCAACTGGTAATGCTTCAGTTGATGCCTCTGGTGCAGCTAGTCTCATCATGCATGGCATGGTGATGGTGGTGTCCATTGGAGTTACCTTGATTGCACCCTTCTTCTTGTAATAATAGATGGGCATGATTGCATACTCTGATCGAGTCGATTTTGTTGAGTTGGATTGAGTGCATTTGAATAATTCCATCCCTTCCCTCATCTCTCTCTCAAGCACATTGCGATGAGAAAATGTAGACAATTATATTGGTTTTTTTTTTTTTTTTTTTCTATTGTTAATGTTTGAGTTCTTTCCCAGGATGTATCAAGTTGAAAGTTTGTACCATTTTGCCGAAGATTTCATTTGTTTATTGTCTTGAACAAGTACACTTACTATATTTTGCAACGATTACAACAAATCCAAAGGAGGGACTATGTGTATTTCTCCCATCCTAAGGCATGAATTAATAACAAGAAGAATCAGAGGAACTGTATGCAAAATCAAATTAGTCTAACTAGTGCCTTAACATAGTGATATATTTCTTGTGTAATTAATTTAGTGACCAAATATATAATAGATCATAACCATTGAATTGATAATAGTTGAATCCAGTACCAATCTAATGACAAAGAATGATAAGGTCAACAAATAGAGTCACTAAATAAGATCTATGTAACATTACCCATATTTCATTGAGTGGACGCTCATGTTCGAATATCATTACCAAATGCTTAACAATAAAAAAAAGAATTAAAATAGAAATGTTATTTTTATGAGTAATGTTATTTGAACTTAATTTGCTGTCTAATCATTTATAATCACTAGATAGACAGGGACTTAGTATATATCAGAATCCACAATCAATCTAACAATTGTGATAAATTAAGTCAACAAATTAAGTTTAAATAGTATTATGGGTTTTTATTTAGGCCCTAAAATGGATAATCGGATCATGCACAAGCACAATTATGGTTAGGACATTGTTGGCATGGGGTTGGTTCGGGCCATACCTAAAAATCCAACCGGTGGGCCAGATTATTTGGCCCAGTATTCTTGGCCTTGTTTTTAATATTTTTCAAATATTCTGACACACTACCCATGGGCCACAGTACTTGGCCCAATCCCTGAATGAAAAAAGAATGAAAAAATGGAGAAACACTCTTCCTTCTTTTAAGAATGAAAAAAGCAGCAACAACATATAATAGACGGACCAGCTTCCCTGGACCACTGGCCTGGACTAATCATGAAAAGACAGTTTTCTGTTTCTGGGGTGGCCAGACCCAAGTTTGTTTGACCTTTTAATTTCTTTGTCCGTTAACAAAAGTTTTTTTTTTTTTGGCAAAACACAGACCCATGATCAATTAAAATTTGATTTACATATGATGTTGAACAGAGGTGACAGCATAGTACTTAAGAACTGGCCGACTGATCGTCGTGTTTTCAAAACACAACAAAAGAATAAAAAATAATAATAAAGGTAAAATGGGTCATCAGTGGGACCAGTGGCAATTAATTTGGATTAGGCCAATGATCAAGAATCATCCCTTTTGGACTGAATTATTTCGTTTAGGCATTCAAAATTCTGTTTTAAGATAAATTTTAAAAATTAATAATAAATCATAAGAGATTCTGAATTCAGCGTCGTCGGTCTCGTTAGATTTCAAATGACATGTGTTTTTATGTACATTAGAAAAATTGCATATTTTTGTTTTTGGTATTTTTCATAATTTTAGGGGTTTTGATTTTATTTTGAGAACAATTAGGGTTTTGACCGTTCTTATGTATATTACTCTTTTGTATTACAAATTATTCATCGAATAACATTATATTTCAGAATTTTTCTCAACTTTCTTAGTGGATTCAAAATGTTCCTTTTGGTTCATTACATAAAGAATTGTAATGTTTTTTATGTTTCTTATTCGGCTGAGTCAACATCAAAAAGCAATGCTGTCTTTTTTTGTTCTTCCCACCTTAGGGAGTTGGGCGACAATAGCTCCTCCATATCCCAGAGTTGGAATCAATTGTAATTGTAATTGTAACTTAGGTGGTCTCCAGAGTTAGAATATCATGGTTCATCTCTCACTTGTTCTGAAATATTCTTAGGTTATAATTAAGTTTTCATTTGTGCCGATCTATTTTAGAAACTGTATTGGATGTGCTACAGTCTAATCTAGCAATAGTAGAGGATCATATCAACAAAATTTTTGAGGTGATTAGGTCTAAGTATGCAACTATACTTTAGGTGGCCTTTATAGAAAAGGGCATGGTTCATTCCTTTTTTTGGTTCAAAAGTTATTTAGAGTTGTAACTAAGTTTTCAATAGTTTAGATTCACGAGAATATGTTATTGGATCACGTTCACTACATATTCAATGATAGCTAGTAGATGAGATTAGCAAATTAAGTCAAAACAACTTCAACCAAATTACATACGAAGGAGGGGAAAACCACCATAAGGTGGTTCCTATATCTTTGAGCTTGGTCAGAAGTATCCTTCATGAGAAAATAAAACTTATCTCCATTTTGAATGGTTAACTCCTCTAATTCTGATAAATATAATATTGCATGAACGAATTTATTAGATATTGCATGTGTATGAATTTCAAACTTCATACCTGAAATTTTTCTGGGAAAACATGAAATGCTGAAATAAACTTCAGAATTGGAATGCTTGATCAAACTCAAACTGATCAAAAAAAGAAAAGAAAAAGATCAAACCCAAACTGATAAATGCCTAGGGATGAGTCCAAATGATGACTATATTATTGGTAAGTAACTCTCTTCTTCATTGTTTGATTTTTCTGGGTAATTTCAACACCAGTGAAGGTCATGTCAAGTAGGTCCTTACTGATACAAATACAGTGCTTTATTCAACTCCAAAGTCTATGTGCCCACTTTAGGTGCAACTCAAAATAGTCACAGGATCACAGTAGACAACCCTCACCCCTAAAAAATGCAGACAACTTTCTGCCTTGTGATTGCCAAGTCGCTTTTTGTCAAGTCCCTTCCAACGTGCAGTAGCCTCGCCTCCCTCCTACCTCTGACAATTCACAGGATCTCTCTCTCTCTCTCCCTTTCCCTCTCTAGATCTCTCTCTCTCTCTCTCTCTCACACACACACACACTAATGCTCAGATTGTATGCCACGTGAAAGGGGTATACTTACAATCTATGGAGTTCAGTGGCATCTATTGTACTGGCTTAAGTCCATGGCTGGACCCAAAGGATCAAAGTTGGCTAGCTGATCATGTTGCAAGAATCGTCTGCCTTCATTACCCCCCACACCTAGAAAATCTCTTGTCAAACTACCTTCAACTCCATTGCCTTTAAAATTCATCCTAGGGTCTGAATTCTTTATGCTACCCACAAATGAGGTCGAGGTCATATCACCCAACAACAACCCATCTTGGCCATTGATGGCCCGTGCTGAATCAGTCGTAGAATTTATCAATCCATTCAAGTTCTGAGCTTGTCCTTGGTTCATAGAATGTTGAACTTCATTTCTATTTTGTTTCAAAGAATTGAAGCTGGAAAGACTAGAGAGAGATGAGGTCACGAGTCCAAACCCACTGCCAAAAAGAGCTGAGTTGCTCTTTGTAGATCCCATTTGGGCTGCTTTTTGCAAAAGTGCAGTGGCTGACATAGGAGTATGAGTTGTTTCTTGATGATTCTGATGACTATAATACATTGAACTCATGCTTTGACACAAATTTCCTTTATTATGTTCTTCCTCTTTCAATACTCTTGGTATTGACGATGATGAAAGATTGGCACCTGTAAATGATGCTTCATAGCCCCTCTTGAACCACTGGAGAGATGAGAGTCCCAACATATTTTCCGGTGCCATCTGCACCATCTCCGGCAAGCCGGTGGAGCTTGATGCTATGAAAGCATTAGAATTTACTGGAATTCCAATGGGGTTTAGATTTAGATGAGAATTGGCATTGTCCAACCAAGGTGGTAGCCTAGGTTTCTGCCCATCCATGTTGAATTGGCCCGCCTGAGCTGGTTCTAGGCTGGAGAATTCAGGCTGAAACACTGCCGGAATTTGTGGTATTCCGGAAGATTGAAGATATTTGCCAAGTGTTCCATTAATCATTTCATTTCTGAAGTTCAAATTGGGTGGTGGAACTGAAGTAAATTTTGCACTTTCTTCTGCTAAAGCATCACAGAAGGCTCTATGAGTGATGAAGCTGTCCTTTCTGTTTGATACAAACAAACCCAACTCAATTAAATCAAAAATATCCCTGTAATGTTTGATCGAAAATCTCATTGAATTCAGATATGAAAGCCATGAATGCTCAAGATTGATCATTTATTACTTCAACTAACTAATCATATAAACCACAGAATTTTAGAGATGTTTGAAGTACAGTACCTGGAGAAGAGAGTTCCACAGTCGCATTTATACTCTCTAGTCCCACAAATCTTACTATGAGCCTTCCAATCCGATTGAACTGCATATTTCTTGGAACATTTCTCGCACTTCCATTTCTTTTCTCCATGCTTTCTGCTGTAATGCTTCTTTATTCCGGTGAGGTCGCCGAGAGCTCTCGATGGATCGTGGTGGATGCAGCTCTTCTCAGGGCATATGTACACCTTCTTTCTGATCACCTCTTTGTTGTTTCGTTGCTTAAGCTTCCATGGAAGGTTATGGCCTCTTCTGTGTAGCTGCAAGTTCTGTTCTCTCTGAAAACCCTTGTTGCAGATTTCGCATATGAATCGATTTGTGGCCATGAGAGACTTGGGAGATAAAACTATCACTTCTGCATCTGGATCTGCTTCAAACCAATAAAAAAACATTGAAATTAATTCAAACTAGGAGAGATGAAAAGTTGAACAAGTTGTGATGAATAGTGATGAAGTGTAACTCGCCTGGTGTTCCTGGTAGACTTCTCTTCCTCTTGACAGGATTTGAACTAGGGTTAGGGTTTGGGTTCAATTCCTGAATGAACCCTCGAATAGAAGAAGGAACTGAAGAAAACCCATCATCAGACATCATCGTGAAACTGACTTTGAAGGTAACTGGGGTAGTGGGATTACAAGAACCAACTCAAAAGCTGAGTCTGAGACAGTAACACAGAGAAACAAACAACGAAGACTTGCTGATAATCAAAAAAGATGTTTCCTCGAAATTAGCCTAACCCCTTCCCCCAAAGCAAAGTGAAACTGGAGTAGAACTTGGTTCCATTACTCTAAAACTCCACCTCTTGCTTAGTTCTTAGAGAGATCTCCCCCACCTTGTTTGGATCTTTTTGGAAGAAAATACAATATACCGTGAAAGCCAGCTGAAGAGAATATTTTCCACTCTCTATGTCTCTCTCAAGAATTCCTTATCTTACACGGCTCCTTTCTAAAGTTGGTCAGCCATAGACCCGCGTGGACCACTCTCTCTCTCTCTCTATATATATCTATCTATCTATCTATCTATATATATATATATAGACATCTGCAAATTTCTCTCGCATGCTGTAAATTGTAATTTAATAGTAACATATGAGCTGTTACAATGTTATGAGCAAATGTTACACATTATGGGTGTGTTTGTTTGGGAGATAAGTGGGGTATAAGGAAGTTGGATAGTATTTATTAGTACATTAGTCACACGTATATTTTGGTTATTAACTATTTTCAATAAAGTACTAATTTTTGAATCATAATATCGATCTAGTATGAATAGTAATTTTAAACCCATTTACATGGATATATCTAATACCACCTTAGAGGTGGTATTAAAAGGTGGGAGGAGGAACACTGACGGTATATAAGAACTATAATACCTCTTTTCACATATCTCTAAGATGATATTAGGGATAAACAAGTCCATTTGCTATATGAGATGCGATAGAATATATTTTTTTAGTGAGTCCAACGATAAAACATATTGCTTAAACAAATATAGAGATTACATTTATGTTTATTATCAGTATAAACTTTCTTGCGTATTGAAAGTGTATGAAATACATTAACTAATCCCATAAATACCAATCACCAAACAAGTGTCTTCCATGTGTTATAAGATTTAAAATGCCTTTCACCTGTGTTATTATCAATTTTATGTAGTGCAAACTTACATCGTTAAAAAAAAAGAGAAGATGGAAAACAAAATTGTGAAATAAAGTTTAAAACAATTTTTTTTTTTTTTTTGAAAATGGAGAAATTTGATGATCTACTTTGAAAAAAATCAAAGACAAACTCGAGTCTATCAACCGGTAAAACTTAAAAGGTTGAATCAATCTCAGACGTCAAAAAGGTGTGAGAGGGAGAAAAGTGATTCACCTTTACAACCATTCATCAGGTGAAAATGATTATAACATAATTGTTTTTGGACCAAAACGCGTGTGTGTGAAAGAGCGATGGAATCTTACCTTCAAGGTGAAGTCCGTGAACTATGTCCCCATTTGAAAATGAATTTTTTTTGAGTGATTGCGTATCCAATAAGAGACAGCCAAAAAAAAATAATTTGTGATATATAAAGTTAATTATTATTATTTTTTTTAAAATCTAACAAACAGATATATGCTAAATATTTATTGATAGTGTATATCAGAGGGATGACCAGGGTGGTCTGGTAGTGGTATCCACCTTACTCCTCATTTAAAGATTAGAAGTTTGAATTCTGAAGTCTTCATTAGAATTCGGTGGTTGACCGTTATACTAACCTAATTAGATTTGGTTTCGAGAGACGTTTCAAGCGCGGTTAAAGGTATTATGATCCCACCCAAGGACGGAGTTATTAGTGAGCTGAAGTCCAGAATAAAAAAATAAAAATTATCACTTTCATACAAGACTATCAGTACCAGCTCACTAAAACACTAATCATTAGTCTAATTTTTTAAAGCCCTTAAGGCTTAAGTCCCAATAATCTTGGAAAGAAAGAGTTTTTTAGGATTTTCTATTCCTATTTTAATCAGAACAGAGAGGAGATTACACAGGGGCGGAGGGACAGCTGAGCCAGGGTGAACAAGTGCCCTCCTCAAAAAAAAAAAATTTATTAGTAAGGTATATGTATTATATTTTATATAATATATTATGTGTGTCTCATTCATTTATATTAGGTCCACATTATTTACCCAAAAAAATTAAAAAATTTAACCCATTTAAAACAAAAAAATTTGAGCATAATATTATCAACCCAAACTTGTTAAAATCTACCCAAACCTATTACAAAAATTTTTGACCCAACATTAAAAAAATAAAATACAAAATTTTTGGACCACAATTAAAATTTTTTTTTTTGGGCCAACATTAAAAACAAAATAACGGAAACAATCGATACAGATTCAATAATAAATATTTTTTATTATAGGAAGGATCGAAAAGTCCAATTTCATTAATAAGTGTTTATGAGTTTACATTTGTATTATTGTATATATATACACATTTATATTTTTTTAGTCGTATGAATACTTAGTTTAGCCCGGGATAAACAAAAATCCTGCCTCTGCCCTTGATCCCACCGGTGAGGGCTTAATGGAATGGTCGCTGGACACTTTTTCTTGCCCCCACCCATTCATTTATTCAACACATTGATGAGTAAATATTAGGTGTAACGTTTATATCATGTTAATATTATTCATGTGATAAAATCATCCAATAAATTTTTTTTAAAACAAATAAAATAGAGCTCATTTCCTATCGTGAAGGTGATTATGCATTATATTGATGGGTAGTTACGAATTTTTGTAAGACCCACTTGCTAACTTATTTATTTATTATTGATTATACCACATAACACTACTAAAGTAATATAAATATTTTTTTCACATTAACATTGTCCCATGGTACCTAAAATTCATTGAAAATTTCTCCTATAAATGGGCTGTGAGTTGGGAGGGTGAGGGGAAAGGGTAGTGGGTATGGTGGGGACCCACCAGAGTATCATAGTCATACGTGTGTATATATATATATATATATAGCGTAGTGTGTGATGAAGTTGATAATACGAAGACAAGAGGTGACCGGTGCTTCTGGATATGTCCGCCAGCCCACGAGACACAGCCGGACAAGAACAATATGTGTTATTCCAGAAATTTGATCTCAAACAGATGGTTGGGTTGCGCGTGGGCCTACCATAATTTGTAGAGAATCTTTCTGCACGGCAACAGGATTCTTTGGGAGTCTAGGGTTCCTTTTATGTTCATAGCTTATAAATGATAATGCATATTGATCATATCTAAAGTAAATTTCAAGTGCTAAGTTTAGGAGGTCAGCTTGGACTAGAAGGTCAAACACATTAGCAGAGGTCAGAGGATAAGGGTCGAGTGTCTCTTAAGACAAGATAACAGCTGGATAACTACGAGAGGATCCTAAAATATTAGGAAACTGTAATCAAGACACCCAATTTCAACCAGTCAAGATCTCCTCCTAGAATTAAGGAGAATCCCACAAAATAAGGGTAAAAATTTCGACTAAGATCCTTCTTAGCAGGGAAGGGCCTTATAAATGCAATGTAACGCCTCCTAATAGGGGACCCTGGTGGCAAAAAGAAGTCATAACAACCTTGTAATTACCGTGAATAAAACAAAAGGAGCAAGAATCTCCATTGAAGAGTGGATTAGTCGAGCTCCCGAGCTGGTGAACCACTATATTTCTACTGTAGTAATTTTCCAACTCTCCAACAATTCTCAGTATCATTCCCTCGAGTCTAGTAGCTCAGATTCCAATAATTCTAATATTATTTCTTTCATTTACTCGTCATCACAAAATTGTTCCACGTTGAAATACACCATCAGTTTGGCGCCGTCTATGGGAACGACTGTTCCTGTTACAAATAAAGCTGATTTTTCAGTGACTGATGGTATCAACGTGAAACATGAGCCAAAGTCAGACCAATCCTCTACGGATGCAAGATCAACAGGAAGCCGCAAATAACAGAAAATCCAAAAACGCTCAAGAAGCCGATCCCCCCATGGGGGGCCTTCCCATGAATAAAGAGATGGAGACCCTTCGTCTTGTCAATGAACGTCTGATAAAACAGAACGAAGAGCTCTTAAAGCTCCTACAACGCCCACAGGAGACGCGACCGGCCCAAGGAGGCCAAAATAATTCACCACCAAGGGAGCAACCATATCTCGACCCCCTCAGAAAAGTTAATGAGGTGGGAGAGAATAGCCTGACCTTGAGGCAAGAACCTCGCCTACCCCCTAGGAATGATCACAAAGAGGAAGTGCAAAGTTAGTATAAGAAAAGGGAGAGGAACGACTTTTTTCCTTATCAATAGGATAGAAGAGAACACCACTGGGAGCAACGTTTCAAAGACATCCAACAAGAGCTCAGCCAGATGAAAGAGGTAGTGAAGAGCAAGGCCCCAGTCACTATGGATGTCTTGGTGCAGCAAACCGAATCCCCATTCACTGCTGGGGTGTTGCACTTCCCTCTCCCACCTAAATTCAGAATGCCACAGGTGGATGCTTTCGATGGGACAAAAGATCCCATAGACCACCTCAACACCTACAAAAACTAAATGGAGTTGCATGAATATCAAGATCCAGTGAGATGTAGGGCCTTTGCTATCACCCTGAAGGGCTCAGCCTTAGCATGGTTTAACAGACTCTCCCCAGCCTCGATTTTCTCTTTTAAAGAGTTATCAATCTCGTTTGTGTCCCACTTCATCGGAGCTCGGACCTATAGAAAACTGAGCTACCATTTGTTAAATGTGAAACAGGGACATGATGAGAACCCACGGTTTTATGTCCAACGGTTCAACTTAGAATCCTTGAAGGTGGATGTCCCAGACGAAAAATTTGCTATACAGCCTTCATAACAGATCTGGGAGTTCAATCAAAAGATCTGATATTTTCCATCTCAAAGAACCCCCAAGCTAGTATGGTAGACGTGCTTGCCAAAGTAGAAAAGTATATAAATGGTGAGGAAGCGCTCCTCTCCAAGGTCGGGAGCTCTTCGTCGAGAAAGGAGAAAGGGAAGAAAGAAAAGAAGAGAGAACGAAGTCCCAGAAAGAAAAGAAAATGAGACAGGTCTCCAAGAAGAGACAGAGAACGTTCCCCGAAGAGAAGAGGAAATGTTAGGGATCGCCTCGGCCCTCCACAACTAGAGCTACAACCAAGGTATGCATCCCGGCAGCTCACCCCTCTGACTGCTATGGTGTCTTAGATACTGTATAAGGTGCAAAATGAGAAGTTCTTAAGGTGGCCACCCCGGATAAAAGTAGACTTGGCAAAAAGGGATCCTACGAAGTATTGTAACTTTCACAAAGACCATGGTCATCACACCGACGACTGTATCCAATTGAAGAAGAAAATAGAATTTCTAATCCAGCGAGGGCAACTGCGACGCT